GATTGTGCTACTCTTAGAATGATTCATGATTTGACTTGGAAACATCAGGAAGTTTTCAGTGGGAATTTCTTCAGGTGAATATTTTAATCCTCTTTATTTTAAAATCTTGGTTCCTTCCTTAAGTGAGATCATGTTACTTTTGAAAATAATTCAACTAGATTTATTTGCAACAGTTTTCCTTTAACAGGGAAATGCTAAAACCTGAAGTATCTATTTACTTTTTGTAAAATATTTAGTCCATGGAAATACTTCTCAAACTTTCACATATGAATGCTCTAGAAGACTTGTTTAAAAATGCTAAAATATTGGTTCTGTCCTTAGAGATTCCCATTCCCTATAGCAGAGGTGAGGGCAGGATGTATATTTACTTAAGAACCCCCTCCCACTGATTCTAAGAGAAGAAGTCTAATGTTACCATTTTAAAATTTGACCTGGCTTTTAACAGCTCATTTATTTTCAAGATAATCTTCAAATTTGAACAAAGAACCTCTTTATTATCAAAATCTTCTTCAAAATGTATATAGATTCATTTCTAATAAGTTCAAAAATAAATATTACCTGTAAAACAGTCTGATTTAAACCTAGTTTGTAAGTAATACTGTGAACTCTTAAGGCAAGATTCTAATATTCTTTGATCAGTGTAAGTTGAGAGACAAATGATCAGTGTGCAAGTCTATTCTATCAAGACTCTAACCTAGGGATCTCATGTGCACCCTCTTCCTTTCAACATCCTCTTAGTCTATTTTCAGTTTACACTTATTCTCCCTTCTCTCTTCCCTAACTCAGACGCATGCTCTCTGCCAATTTCCTCTCACTTTATACCCTCTTAGCTCATAATCTTCTCATGGCCTAATTTTTTTCCCTCCTAGATATCTTATCCAAGGATAAAAGACGGGAAGGTGAATCCTGGTCTCTCATAGATTTCATGGATTAAGAGTGCTGGATTTGGAGAATAGGGCTAGGGAAAAAAAGTATTAGGTAAACACAGAAAGATATTTGGGTGCTTACTTTGCCCAGGACATATTCTTCTTTCTCCCATTTCTTCTAGAAATACCTGCTTCTTACATTTTCTCCTAATTCAAACAAAATCCAAAAGCTATATCCTCATCAGAGAAAAAGAAAAAGCAAATCATATAACAAGAGGTTGCTTTATTCCTGAGTCTTTAGCCATTTCATGGCTTTTGTCTACAATTCTTATCTATCCAGAATTTATCACATTTCAGAACAAATTAAGGTTTGCCATCTTAACACAATGGAAATAGACCAAAGTTCTTTATATATATATATATATACATATATATATATACCTTTCTCTGCCCTATTTGAGCTTTTACTCTGAGAGAGTTGCTATCTCTGGTTCTGGTGTCTTCTTTAGACAAACAATTCCATGACATATGAATGTGGTGGTTTAGCCTTCTAGATGCTCACTCTGATGACGGAAATCAAAATATATGGATGACCTCTTAGAGAAATCATTTATGAGTCAAACAGGTTTGGAGTGACACTGAAGAAGAATAAAATATCAAAATCTTCTATTTAAAAATTCTAAATTTTTTCTTAAATTTCTAAATTCTTCAGTAAAGTTATTTGTGCCATTACGTCCATTTCAGATGGGTGTATTGATCCATGAAATACTTCAAGACAATATTTTATATAAGCCTAAATCACATCATAAATGTGTTGGCGGATTAATGGGAAATAACATCTTTTCTTCCTGGCATCTTCAGCTAAACCTGTGGCTTCTAAAATCAGTCACATGTATACATATGTAGGCCAAATGTGAATCTCATCTCTACTTAATGTACCTTCAGTAGTTATTTCAGACAAGAAATTTTGTGAGACTGAACCCTAAATGATATGTTAAAGATTTGGGATTTTAAACAGCTTACTCTGAAACCTGGGTCTTGTAATCAAATTTAATGTGAAAATAGTGCTGTCATTAAATTCAAGAAAATACCACAATTGAATGCTTAATCTCATTAAATTTCAGATTTCTATGTCAGAAAGCTATATTTTGGAAACATGAATTTGAACTTTACTACTGAGCAGACCATATATTTACATAGAATTTTAGCCTCAGAGCATGTTGATAGGAAGTAGTAGTTTCAGGAAAGTGGGATGGAAAAAAATTCTATTCTATTTCAGTGCCTTAGAGAATATTTATGTAATTAAAACATCAACGATGACCAATAATTATACTATGATTAGTTTCTGGTAGAACTAGTATCTTTCTTTCAAAGGAAAAATGTTCCTTTACCTGTCTCATGGTTTTCCAGGGGTATTTCTACCCACTGATGGAAGCATGTTTATGTTGTTCTTTCTTCCAGCAGTTCTGATTGTGTCCTACACATTTTTGTGGGTAGATGTTGTCCTGGTGATGGCAGGACAGGGATTAACCTGGAGTTCTTGCCTGGTCAGTTTAATATAATAAATTACAAAAGTGCTAAACAGAAAATTTACATTTTCAAGGTAAATCATTAAAATCATGATGATAATATATATTATAAGTATACTAACATGTACTTAATAGGTTATCCTCATCCACACAAGAGTTTTAGTAGTCAGTAATTCCATTTAGTTGACAGAAATGGTTCTGTGTGATTTCTTTAACCTACCATGTTACCTTCAGCAAAACAACTGATGTCATTCAGTAAGGAGTTAGGCTCCATGGAAGAGAAGTCCATTCTAACAGCTTACACATTCTGCAATGCAAATGAGAACTGTTTAAAGATAAAATGGAAAGGAAAATCTGAAAGAAGTTAGTGTTTTTTAAATTTTTTGAAAAAAGAAGCTAGTCTTTGTGCCTAAGATTTCTTAAATATTCTTTAAAGTATCAACTCAAAATTGTAAAATAGGTCTTTGTTTCTCTCTACCGTAAAAATTCAAACTTCTCTTTAGAAAGAAAACATCTTTCAGTAAGCATCTCCCCCATACTACACTGTGTTAAACTTCATCCAATTGCTTAGCTAATTCTCATACTTCTCTAATTTTACTGGATATGATGATTTATCGAAGTTCATGGAAGCATGAATAATGACATCAGCAAGCTTTGTAATTTCTCATTGCCATTTTCTACACAACTTACACTTTTGTCACTCACACTGCACCAAACTGCTTCAACAATCAATCTTAAAGCACAGGAGTGGGGGGACTCTTAAATGGATCCCTTCTTGGGATTTTGTGTTAAAAACAGAAAAGTTCCCATGAGTGAAGGGGGATAAGTTAGCTTTTCCAGCCTCTGTCTCTCCCCAAGCCTCACTTTTCTCTGCCACCTCCCAAAAGGAATGAATTACATTTCTCTTCTTGTCCTTTAAATGAATAGCATAGTTTGGGTGAAATTATCGGGCAATTGCATGCCTTTTATGCAGATAATGCTATTTGATGAAAGCGGTGTTTTGATCTGCTGAGGATAATACAGATCCAGGGTTGGATTCATTGGTGAGAGTAAAGCTGTCTTCTGTGATAACTTCATCTCAGCATGAGGTCAGACGGGGAAAACTGGGATGGGGGATTAAAAAATGACACAGTCGGAGCAGTATTCAGTTCCCTGCTGTGCTCCTGGCTGCACACTATAGCTTATGTTTCTGATCTGTTATGGTATTGTCTGCCTTTCTCTCTTGGAGCAGAAAGAGATTGCTTAAAACTTTTCTTTTTTCAGCTAGAGGGATTAGTTCTATGCAGCTTTTTTAATTAAAGAAACTGTATCTTTTTCAAGGCAATTTAAAGCTGCAAGGAAAGGACCATCAACACCCATAACTTAGTACTATCATCTGTAACAAAGTGTAAACTCTTAAGTTTAATATTCAGAAACGGGGGAGAGGAGTTGTAGAATTCTCTTGTATTTTTATCCCTAATAAAAAATAGTAAATAAATTACTTTTCTATAAGTCCTGAATGTTTCTATAAGTAGTAACTTCCAGCCACTTTGCTTTTTAGCTTAGCTGAGCTTGCTTAATTAAATCTTCATGATGATAGCGAAGTGCACTTGAAAATAGTGTAAGAGGAAATAGACTTGACTATATATCCTTTTCTTACCCAGAGATCATTTTTAAACATTTCCATTCTACTGAAAGTGATAACAGTAGAAAATGTCTGCTTAATATGGGCAATTTGCATTTAAACAGAGCAAAGTACAACATTATGGTACTTTATCACAGCGAACCTTTGCATGTGTGATAAGCGGTCATCGTCTGTATTAATCTGAGGGGAGCCGGGATTGATCTATCCAAAGTGATGATGAATTTGTCAGGATGTGTATATGAGTTGAATTTATAGCTCAATTTAACCCAGGTTAATGTCGAAAATCCTCAAATGTTTCAAATAAGGCCCATATGGTTATCACTTTACAAAGCATACAGGCTCTGTGCTTCGGTTGCAGCATATACATCTCCAACTAAATTCCATGCCAGATCAATTAGAAACAGTCCTCCTGAGCGGACAGGAACAAACAGAGATTGTTTCCCCAGTACCAGCTGAACTCTTGTCTTAAAGAAATGAAAAGCAGTCTTCTTAAGCTCTATACTTCTTACCATTAAAAATACAGAGAAAAATTTGAAGACAATAAGGATTTTATAATAATGCCATATCTAATATAAAATACTTAGAGTGTCTACATTCGTTAGGTGTTTGCTTTACTTTTTTCCAGTTTTCTGTAAATACTGCATCTTACTAAAAAAGAAAACAAAATTTGATCTCTTCGCCTCTTCCCGTTATGTTTGTCTTTGCTTCTGATACATTTCTGAGAGAAGTTAGCCAAGTTCAAAGGTGGGTTCCTATAATGATCAAAATTGTGAAACTGTGTCTCATTTAAAAAAAAAAACTGATGGTCAGTGATGTAGAAAAATGTGTTTAACAAATATTTTTTCAAAGTAAATTTTGTTTATGATAGATAATATTTAAAAAGAAAGAATGACTAAATACAATACAATATTTTATTCATATATTCATTCATTCATGGAATAAACATTTTTGAACATAGTCTATAGACCAGCCCTTGCGCCAGAGCCTGTGGGTTCAAACAAAAATAAGATGAAATCCCTAAACTGCAGGAGCTCTCAACTATTGGGAAGGGCCTCTAAATACCACACAGTCATCCTTATTACACACAGAAAATAAAATGGCATACCTAAGCAGGAGACATTACTAATAGATGCTTTAAAATCTATGTGTTTCGGGGATCTAGGGTGCGGAATACTATAGACCAAGGCATCAGCAAAAGGAGGATAAAGGGTGCAGCATATATGGGAAATGAAAAGTCATTCAATTTGTCTGGTACTGAATTATACTCACATGCTGTCATATTTGACAGGCATTTATATGGTTAATTTAAACCATATTTACATATTAAGTTAATTTATAAGCTGACCTCTGAAATATCTAAATGTTTTATTGACAAAATTGTCTTTCCATATTACTAACATATGATAAACTTTGCCAGCAACTGGTGTCTACCTCACATACACTATAGAGATATTACTTACTACCAAGTCATTTACAATAACTGATAGATTTTTATAAGCACTCTCTGATAACTACTCATTATAAAAGTTCCCACTTTCAGGGTGGAATCATATGGCAAATTTTAAAAAGGTACATGGAGCAAAGCCAAATTTGGATGGACTGCATGTTAAAAGACATCTCTGTGTTCAAAATCCTTCACAGAACTTGGGGTCTCTCAGGATGCTCTAGCAAAACCACGTCAGCAGTTGGGTTATGCTCCACAACTTCATTTCCACCAAAGGTCAGAGCCACATCCAAGCTTGGTTTATGCACTGGAACACAAACTAATGTACTGGAAAAACCTGGCCCCATTTAAAGGTTGATTTGTCTGATCGCCAGTCCACTCCATGACTCCAAAATGGATGTACATTGAGAGAGGACTGACTAGCTTGCTTTAATTAAGGCAATGAAAGCATACTTTCCACTACAGTCATTTAATTTTATGACTTTGTCAGTGAGGAAATCCTAAGTTTTTGTTTTACAGTTTCATTCAATCTAACTGCCAAGGGAAGCAAGTCATTTCTGTGAGTGAAAAACAACAACCTGATAATAACTTTACGGCTACCTTAGAGACAAGTGTGAAATGTAAGTTCTAGTACTATAAATTGTTCCAGAATAATTGTTTGCTGTATGCAAAGTGATTTGTTTAACAGGAATACTCTGGGTGCTTAGAATTCAGCGTTTGCTCACAGATTACTAGCTTTTAGTCTGGTTCAAGTGGTCCATTTCCTGTTTGTTGTTCTCACATGAGACATAACCTCCACTTGGACATATTTGGATTATGGCTTTCCTGATTTTCCCAAGGGCTGAGCTGGTAGGTTGAGGACCCTGAAGCTTTGGGTCTCCTTATTTCTTCCAGTTGCTCATTAGCATTTAGGGTCTCTTGAGTGGTGAGTCCAGAAGTCAGCCCATTCATGGCTCAGTTTGCTAGAGCCTTGTAATAAGCCCAAGGAACACCTGTAAAGTCCAGTTATGTCCACAAGCCTCCCAGGAGAGCCTGGTACCTGCCTGATCCCATGCTCCCCATCCACATGGCTGAAAGCCTCCCTTGTCAAAGGAGGAAGTGCCTCAGAGACAGTCTGCTCCCCAAAGGAAGGAGGCTGGAATAGTTGCCACCCAGCCTTTCCAGCTCTAGGCTGGATCTTTAGGGTAAGAGGAGAAAACAGCTCCTCCAACTCCAGAGAAGGTTCAGGTGATGCTGACTACAATTGGGAAGCGACACCTTCAAGTAGGGGATGACTGCTGGCTCAGGTTTGGCCCCGAAACAGACATCAGCAACAGCAGGAGTCTGGCTCTTTCCCACCCTCTCCCAGCTCTGAAGACATAGGTGCATTCTTCCTAACCCCAAAGCATTCTGAGATCTGGCCCAGTCTTCCTCCCAAAGCATACATTGCTAGGGTTATGGACACGGGCTGTGCTGGGAGCTGTCATATTCTCTGTTCAGAGACAAGGATGAGGTCAGCTCGGCCCGGCCCCATTAACCCCGTGCACTAGGGGCTGGGCTGCGTGAACACTACGGCAAAGTCACCAGCCATGTGGGAAGAGTTCGCTGTGAGCAGCAGCCAGAGGTCTGCAAGACAGATAGCGATGTCTTGCATTTTTCTCCTATTCCAGTGTTTAACGCTGCGAAGAGCTACCCGCCCTCCTCTCCCTCCCATAACAATAGTTCAGCGAGGCAAAGTACCTCCTGGTCACATAGCGTGACGCCTCTCTGCTTTCCAGGGATGCATTTGGAGGAGGAAGAGAGTTGGTACACTTGGCAATGCATGTCAGCTTTTCCTCACGGCCTCCAGCGACGATCTTGCTCGTACCCCCGCCCCTCAAGTTTAACACACAATACACTCAACGCCTGAATTACCGCAGGCTGCGCCTTACGGATACAGGAGGTCATGGGCGGGCTTTGTCCACCTGCCATTCTGGACGTTAAATGCACAGGACTACAGCCATGAATTCTAGAGGGTTTTTCTTTTTTCTATATATTGCATCCACTTTGAGTGAACGTTCAGCCCCACAAACTTAAAACTTTGAAAATCATTTAGTAGGGAAGTAGTCTAGAGACAGGTTCCAAGATTTATTACCTTTTCTAAGCTTTGTGAGTTGTTTCCTTCGTTTATTGCTAGCGTTAGCTATAATGAGGGTTCTAGAAAAAAAAGAGCTTAAACCTCTCCCCATTTCCCTAATGTAGCGCTCTGCTCTGGCTTCTTTGGGCATAGAGCACAGTGTGTTTTCTTTTTATTGAGTATTCCTAGATAGCAAGGTACAAAAGAGCAAGGAGGAGTCTTACCTGGACAGTTACAAAAGTTTCAAACACAATGTTTTTGTGGGAACTGGGCCAAAAACCTGATTTATGAAATACCTTCAGTGTCCTTAGAGTTATACAGGTGTGCAAATTTGAGCAGTTTGAGTGCTCACCAGGAAATATCCGGGGCATATCATCATAGTTGACTAATTTCTCAGGATAATGAGAATGGCTAGCAGGAAAGGGAGATACGGTGCAACAGAACCACTCCCCACCCCCTTTCTAAGCATGAAATTCACGTGGCAGGAAAGAGACTGATGCACCCTAGGGCAAATGTTGATATTCCCGGAAAGATGCCCTTGTGGTGTGTCACTAGAGCCCCAGGAGCCGGGAGGGGTTCCCTTATTACAGAGACTCTCACACGTCCTGGCGCGCTCTGTCACTTAGCAACTTCGGGAACTCAAGACCAAGTCTGGGCACTCTAATTGGAGTTTACAAATGAGATCCGCCACAAACTTTGGAGAAACTCGAACTTAAAGATTCAGGCTTTCCTAGGAGGCGTTGCCCTTTGCATTAGAGAGGGCTAGATCTGATCTTGCTCTGCCTTCAGAGGCAGGTGAAAGTACACATCTCCTTCCTTCCGGTCACGTCAGGTATAGGTCGTTATCCCCGCTCCGAAGCTGCGGGGGGAAGATGAGGTGGGCTCCAAGCGCCGTCGGGACAGGTTGGCAGCGGCCCGGAGCAGGCCGAGACACTGACTCTCAGCTAGCGGCCGGCTGGCAGAGTGTCCCTGAGGAGGGACGGTAACGCTGGGGCGCCCCACGGGGAACCTCGAGCACCCGTCCTCCGCAGGCGCTCGCTCCAGGCCGGCCGCCGCACAGCAAAAGGTGCCAGTAGGTGGAAGGGAAGGGGCCGGGGAACTGGAGATCCGCTCCAGGAAGGGTTTCAGGTTCCAAAATTCCAAATGGCGATAACTTTGGGCAGATTTAGGAAGCTCTGCGGGGGGGGGGGGCTTTCTGCCCCCTAGGGGCCTGGGCAGAGGAACTGGGGATGTGGGAGCTAGAGTTTTGGTGGGAACTTGAGCGAGTAGCAAGTGGCAGTGTGTAGCAGAGAGCAGTAAACTTTTTCACCTTTCCCATAACAAACAAACTTGAGTCGGGCCAGTGTTCGGCTGCTTAACCTTCTAGGAAGAGGAAAAGGAGGGCGAGAGGAGGGAGAGAGGGTGGGAGAGAGGAGAGACGGAAGGGAGAGATTGTTAAGAATACGTGTGAATACGGATGGGGGTCTGAGGCATCGGAGGACTCCAGACTGCGCCCTGGCCAGGTCCTGTTCCTTGGAGGTCCAGGCACTGGAACCCGGGGGGCGGACACTTGGTCAACAACGTAGAGCTGCGGCTCCTACCAGAGTCTGAGTGTTTAGTGCAGCCCTCTCCCGTCCGAAGGTCATTTGCGCTTTTCAGTTTCGGAAGAGAAGACATTCGGGAAGGGAAGGCACAGGTCATTTTCCGAGGCTCGTGAAGAGCGGGCCGCCCGCCGGGGGTGGCAGTCCTTAATTACACCCGTCTGCCTCCGAATCCATCTTCCCGGCAGTGTCTTGCACTCCCACCTCCTCGGGTGACTCAGCCGACCTGAAATGCCCACCCTATGGAAGATCAAGAAAAGTAGTTTTCTAAGAAGGTTAGAGGTTTGATTACCCAGAGAAGTGTTTCCACTTAAGTCCAAAGCAATTACCCGCCCCCTCCCCCAGGTCCTCCTCTCGGTCACCCGGAGAAGAAAAGGACAGACCCCCGCGCACGTACCCCGCACTTTGTTGGTGCGTGTGAATTTCAAATGGCGCTGTAAGTTCATTAGTGTTTGCAATCAGCGGCGGGCAGACCCCTCATCAGAGCCGAAAGCCAGCAAGAGCCATTCATCAGCCTGAAGTGTTATTCATGGATGACCCCTAAATCACGGCAAGAGTAGTAGATGCACTGATTGGTCACAGCATGGGAGCCTCGGTGCTTTTCCGGACCCGACGCGTCCAGGAGGAGGGAGGAGAGAGGGAGGGGCGCCAAACGTGGTTCAGTCCGGCAAATCCCATTTGACAGAAAAAGGCAGGAAACGGGGAATCTGTTTTTTTGAATAAAAAAGAAGAAGAAATAAAGTACCTGTCAAGTACCTGTCAAGTGGCTGAGCGGAGGAGTCTAGGATTATAAATGATCGCAGCCGGGTCCAGCTCGCCCTGTGATTGGGCTCTCCCGCGATCGGCACCGGGGAAGCGCATGGTAGGCTCCTCTCCTCTCTTCCCCTCTCTCTCACACAAACACACACACTCTCTCTTGCGCGCACACACACACGGACACGTGTACGAGCTTGGTCTGGGTCCCACTCGGCCCAGAGCGTACCCCCTTCACACAATCGCGGTCCTGGATGCTGCTCCCTGGCACAGCGCCCCGCTCGCCTCCTCACCTTTCTTTCCTCCTCCTCTTACGCCTCCTCCATCCTTCAGCTCACCGGCCGAGCCCGGAAAAGTCCGGGCCAGCGTCAACCGCGGAGGAGGCTGGAGGGGGCCGGCGGGAAAGCGGAGAGAGAGCGCTGGGGAGAAAAAGAAAGTGAACTCATTGGCGCTCGGCGCGCGCTTCCCTCCCCTCGCCGAGTCCCTGGCCCGCGGGGCGGGCGGTGGGCAGGGAAGGAAGTTGTAACACTTGCTGTTCTCC